TGTAATGAGACAGGACACATCTCCAGGGACTGTCCCAATCCTAAATCAGGTGGAAGAGGCGGGGGTGGAGGTCTGTACTTAATCTTTGCAGATATGATGCACATTTTGCATGTTAGTTGATGCTCGGAATGTTCACAGACAGACTGCTTGCTGCTTTTTTTTATTGTGTATTAAATCTGCATGACAATGAGTGGACAAAAAATGGCTGTTCAATTAATTGAATCTGTAATTTCTAAAAAAGAAAAAAAAGGAAAATTCATTGTTCTAGTACAGCAGATTCCCGTTATAGCATTCCTTGATATAACGCTCTATTTTCATTTCCCCAACTGCACGCCCATTCACTGTGTACATATTTCTGTGGTTATAGCGTTCCCATTGACAACGCTTTTCGGGATATAACGCTCACGATTTTCGGCACCGAGAACCATATAAAACATGTGAAATGATTCCGGTATATAGCGCTCTTTACCTTGGAAAATCAGATTCTTTGCAAATCAACGCATATGAAACCGCATCGCAAGGCCACGACGATTGGTCGACCATCCTGGACACCGTAGAGCGCAGACGCGCACTGGGACGCCCCATGCAGCGCGAGCACGTGCTCACCACGGTGAGCCGCGCCCATGTGGCTTTGCTGTGGTGACATTGTAGTGATTATTTCTCACTTTTTATTTATTCTCGTGGTGTAGTTTGGGACACTAATAATCAACACTACAACACATGTAGTATTTTGTTACCCAAAGTTTTCTTTCTACTGATAAATAAAATCGGCCGCTTCAATTGTACGTGTATCTTCGTGTAGCGAATCTCGTCTTTTTGCCGATTGTGTTCTGGGTGACACGTCGGTTCTGTTTTCACTTGGGTTTTCTAATGATATATCACTTTCTGTGATCACATGGTTATCGGGAAAAGTCAGCGATTGGACTGTCCATGGATGGGTATATGCAGTAGCAGTCAGGATGTCGCGGTGGGTACGGGTGTGGATGCAGTGCATGTGCTGCGATACAGCAGCATGCACGAGGTCTGGTAGCGGTTTTCGAAGAGATTTGCTGTTTTTTAATCTGTTTCACGAAAACATCAAGATAAACGGATACAAGGCATATACTCTGAAAATTACGGTACATACGTCTGCCAATACATGTAAATGTAAACGAAATTCACATACATGACATACATGTACATGTAGATACATGTATCTATGCATGCACAAGTACATGTGTACATGTGAGCTGCACATGTTGCGCGTCCATCCAGTCGGTTATAGCGTTGTGCGGTTATAACGCTCAATTCTGTTAGGTCCCCTTGAGAGCACTACAACGGGAATCTACTGTACTGTCATACCCTCTGCATGAAGCACATTGGAAAATCCACTATCCCTCCAGCTCAGATTGCAAACAAAGTAATTTCAAGGGTGCTCAGGGATGCCCAACTTATCAGAAGTTTAAACTGGCATTCTTTATCCCTTTCATTCAGAGACAGCCCAAAAGGCTGACGGCTTTCAAGGGGGTAAGGCCGTGTAGGAAGAAAAAAGTAATGGAGTGCCTTTAAACTTTGACACCACCCACCTGGCCGTTTCTCAAGCAGCAGTCTTAGGTAGTTGTGAATAATTTGAAGCTGCATGAAGTTCTTTGGAGCCTAAATAGCTTTTAAGTGCTACCAAGACATCACTAACTATTGAAAACACTCGACTTGATCTTCTTGTGTTTGTTTTTACAGGCAGCGAATGTTACAAGTGTCACCAGACAGGACATTTTGCCAGGGAGTGCCCGAACGAAGAGTCTGCCGATGCAAAAGGTGGAAGCGACGGTAAGAAGGGTTTGGTTGTTACTTCAAATGGAAACTTGTGGCATAATTTGAATGCTGCACTTGTCAGGGCCTCTGGCCAGACCTTGTGCTAGTTATGCTCAGCCGTACATAAATATATAGGCCTTGATTGTCCTGGAAATCGTGATCATTCACACTGCCTCAGCATAATGACAGGAATTGTTTTAGGCTATTGAAAGTTTGAGGGGGTAGTCACTCTTAAGAGGAACACATTCAAGAAATGATGGGGTTTTGGAGGATTGGGGATGCTGTCCTATTATTCCATGGAGACAAGGGGAGGATTTCATAGGGTACAGGGTACAGCATTGCAATAAGGCCTCAGGAATTCTGGTTCAACTGCTGGATGGCAGAGATTCCCATATGATGCAGAGGAGATTCTGTTCTGTATACAGTACTGGGTGAAATCTTGTGTTGCCTATTGGTGACATGTACACACTTGAGCTCTGGCAAGTCCATGGATTCTGACTGAGCGTGTGTGGAGCCCCTGAGCAGTTGTGGGCCATGCAGCCACAGCTCTCTGACATTGTTTCGGCGTTTAAAAAAAAAAGGAACAAATCAATGAGAAGTGTTGCACAAATGTTGCACCTGTGAATACCAAGGGTCAGCAATTAAGTCTAATGTTGTAAAGGACTGGGGTAGGGGGTATGCTTGGGACAAGTGTGTTGTGGAGTAATACTGTCAGCAAAGGGTATAACGAGTCCAAAGTAAAGTGGTGGAACTGAGAATGAATCACCCTTATTTCCTTCCTAGGTCGCCCTCCGCCATCAACCTACATTCCTCCACCCCCCTCCGAGGATGAAGAGTTGATCTATGCCTCCATGCAACAGGGGATCAACTTCGACAAATACGACGACATTCCTGTTGAAGTGACAGGTAAATTACTCCAAAAGACATACCTTTTCAAATAACTGACAGTTCCTCAAGAATATCCCAGTTAACAAAACACCAAAAGCACTCCAGAATGCTCTCTAAAATGGCATGATGAACTGAAACATAGGTCAAATGGGAAAGGAGGGAACATTTTCAAGGATTTCGTTTTAGAAAGGACCGTGCATGGACCCTTGAAAGCATATTGATTTTTTTCTGGATTTACTGTGATGTAAGCACATATTTCCCATGTTGTCGTCAGGGCGAGATCCACCACGCTGCATCCACAGCTTTCAAGAGAGCCCCCTCTGTCCCGAGGTGAAGTTGAACGTTGACAAGGCCAAGTACAAGAAGCCCACACCTGTCCAGAAGTACGGGATACCAATCATCAGCAGTGGACGAGACCTCATGGCGTGTGCGCAGACGGGGTCCGGCAAGACGGTGAGTTGATGTACTGCTCACATTTTTTTTTTTAAATTAATTTTTTTATTTATTAGTTTTATATCAAACACTTGCAGTCCAAAGGCCGAATTGCAGTTTGATGTACAATTAAGATCCGTAGAGATAAAATACATGCACAATAACGCATTGTATGAAACATTTAGATTAATTTAAATCAATAATATTTGCAGTGAGGCAAGCATTTAGGCAAGAAGGAGTTGTGTTTTCCATGGTCTAAAAGCAAGACTACTGTTTCTGCTGTGCTGCCCACAGAAAGACTTCGACCACTTGCTGCCGGGTGGTTTGAAAAATGCAGTGCACAAAATCGGGACTTTTTCAAGATTTCCAATTTTCAAAATTCTTCAAAAATTCATCGTTTTAATTAATGGACGTCTACACCCACACGAATTACTGTCTGGTGGCCACTCTAGTCAGACAAAATCTATTGACGCCCGAGTATTTCAGCCAGGCCTGCAGCCTTGTAAAAAGAGCCCAGATTGTGCGGTGTTAGGTAACTTTCTTTTGTTCACGAACCTGGCTCAGTGCGCCGCTGACCTCTTTTCAATAGGGGCCAGATTAGCATGCAGCGGTGCTGTGTGGCACATCGCTGCGGTGGTGGAGCGCTTTTTGTCCCCCGTGGTAATCCGCTCGCACTAAATGCCCCAAATTGTGGTATACTGTTTCAAAACAAGGCTGGATTATCTCCACTATAGAGGGATTTCACATTAGCGCCGTCATATCTGCGTCAAAACCGAGGCTTTCTGTGTTGAACTTAATCATGCGCACCCGCGGAGTCTACACAGTACCTGCAGTATGCGGTTTAAAGTGTGATGCCACTTCAGTTTAAGCCACGCCCACTGCACAAGATACACGACCATCGCCGGTATGTTAGTTCGCAGTAAATTACCGCTATTTTTTCTTTTGATTTTACGTGTCAAGTCATTCTGAAAGACTCTTCCACAAAAATCTGCAGCCTGAAAAGTCTGAATTTAACATACCTTTATATATTTTGTGTCTTGACTCCTTACTTTCAATCGTCTGTAAGCTGACACATACAGCCTCGTTTTCAAACGTGGAAGTGAGCAGGTTGACGCTAAAGGCGTTGTATTGGGATCCTTCTATTGAGAGTGAAAAAATGTCGGTAATGCCCAGCAGCCTAGTCTTTTGTAATGAGTACGGTCTTTTGTTACAAGGCCCAGTTCCCTTTGTCTGATTTCGGAGACCCCGGCCACACGTATAAACACAAACCGGAGTCCCTGGCGGCAAGTGGTTAATCAAACTGGTGGGTGTTTCTAAAAATAGTCTGCCTGTACTGACTTTGAAGTGGCCATTAACAGATAAACAGGTTTGAAATAGAACTTTGGTTTACCTAGTTCAAGGTTATTGTGGTGTAGATTAACCTTGAAATGATACAGTGACTATTAAACTGGCAAGTTAGAATGTTGAAAAAACAGTGAATTATTAGTGAAGTCCTTTTCCAATGAAATAAAAATTCTTATTTTGGTCTACCTACAAGACAGGAAAATCATCATTTTTCCTTTGGAAGTCCTCTCTTTATTTGTGAATTCAGAATTTCGTGAATTTAGTCTTTCCACATTGGAAATGGATTTTCAAGGCAAAACCAGATTACAGAAACTTGGAATTGGAGTCTTGCTACCATCTCCTGCCGAAGAATACAAAATATAGATTATACATTAAGCTTGTTTTCCAAAGACAGAACCAAAAAAAAAAGTACTTCCAAAAAGAAAAAAGTGGCAAGTCAGTCAATCATCTGTGCTATGCCTGAATGTCACATCTGAATTTTGCCATGGTAACCAGACATTGGAAGTACTGTCTCGAATATACCAAAATTCGATCAACCAATTATTTGAAAAGCTTTTGGCTGGTTGAGATATTGGATTGAAGACAGACACTTGAACTCACAGAAGAACCATTCGTAGTTTACTGCACAGCCGGACTGGGGGCGTACTTGCAGCTGTTTGATAAGAATCAACACAGCTGTGAAGACATTTTCCCCAAGAGACTTCTTGCAGCATGTTACTGCAGCTGATGTGTGTTCTTCATTATAGTCAAAGACAGTTTTGAATATTCAAATACTAAAGTGTTCAAAAATGGACATTATATTCGACAGTTGTTCTTCCATCGTCCCCCTCCCAGGCTGCCTTCCTCCTGCCAATCATCACTGGCATGCTCAACGACGGCGTGACGGGCAGCTCCTTCTCTGAGTACCAAGAGCCCCAGTGCATCATCGTCTCACCCACCCGCGAGCTGACAAGCCAGATCTACACGGAGGCCCACAAGTTCTCCCGGGGCACCATCCTGAAGCCTGTGGTGATCTACGGCGGTACCAGCGTGGGCCACCAACTCAGGCTGGTGGAGAAGGGATGCCACCTACTGGTAGCCACGCCAGGACGGTTAATGGACTTCATCAGACGAGGCAAAGTGAGTGGTTGAAAGCTCAAGGCATTTTTGTTTGTGCCGAACTTCCAGTTCCTCCAGTAATTCTGCATCTTGAAAATCATTGTGACACCATTTTTTAAAAAATTGGACGTGTGTAATGCCTATTTTTTTTGAGACGGAAGTGTTACCTTTTCCCATCAACTTCCTTAAAGTACCCAGGCCAACGCAAGTGATACCGAGAACTGTAAATAAGCATAACCAACTCCTGTGATTGAGCTGAGCTCACAATGTCTTTACAAGCATGCTGAGTTTGAAAAAGATCGGCATGACAGATTCAACAAACTGCCATTGTAGGACTACTCAGTGTTTAGAGTGCCGGTTCAGTGTTCAGGAGGTCACAAGGTTCAGTCCTGCTGAGGTTAATGTGCTAATGTCCTCACACTTTGTTTACATGTGCACTTTTCCTATGGAGCCAGTGGGGGCCCATGGTCCACTGAGTACCACAGGAAAGCACGCACATAAACAAACTGTGGTGTCATCAGTACAGAGGTCTATTCCTTTTTTCATCTTTGTCAATTGGTTTCTATTTGGAGAACAGTTATTTTGCAGAGAAGCAAACGGTTTGGATGTCCTGCTTTTAAATCCCTTGTTACCTTCCCAAGACCTCGAACACCCCTTCTGTCTTACTCCAAAACAACTGCTGATTTCCAATCCCCGACAGATCAAAGTCAGCAAGTGCAAGTACCTGGTGCTGGACGAGGCTGACCGCATGCTGGACATGGGCTTTGGCCCCCATATGGAGCAGCTGGTCTACCTGCCAGACATGCCCAAGAAGGGGGAGCGCCAGACCCTGATGTTCAGTGCGACCTTCCCCACCGATGTCCAGCAGAAGGCGGCCGAGTACCTGGACGACTACCTGTTCCTCACGGTGGGGCGGGTTGGCGGGGCCACACCCGACATCACCCAGACCATCCTGGAGGTTGGCAAGTACAACAAGAAGGAGAAGCTGACAGAGATTCTGCAGAACAACCCCGGTAGGCTTGATTTACTACTTGTGAGCATTGACCTTATTTAAACAGGGACCTTTTACTGGTTTATCACCGTTTTCACAGATTCCATTTGATTAAGTTTCATTGCATCTTTCAGTAACTTATTGATAGTCCTCAGATTTCATAATTTTCCACACCCCCAGGGGGGTCGGGGTGAAGTTTATAACTTTCATATAGAGAATGCTGAAGTCTAGGAAAAAACTGAGTGAAATTAAGTTGCAGTTGTGGGTTTTTTGGGGGAGTTAGTGAGTTAACAGTGAGTATGGGGACTGAGAGCATTTGTCCCTACCTGATGCTGGAGTCAAGCTGGTCAATTCTTTTTTTAAAATCCATTCTGAAGAAGCAGTTAACTGTTTAAAATATTTGTCGTTCTTGGCTCGTTTTGAACCCAAATTACCTTGTTGAACCAGGTCACATTTACTGTGTAGTGTCCTACTTCTCAAAACACTGTAATGTGTAGAGAAGGAGCTTTGGAGGTACATGTAGATTTTAGTTCATTTCTAGTGTTTGTAGAAAAGTCCATATTTTGAAGATTTTTTAGTGAAGTTTAAAACAATTTGTATAATTAAAAATAGCATCAGCTTTGCAGAAATCTTTGCTTTTTTTGTCTTCCAAAAGATGAGCGCACGCTAGTTTTCACAGAGACCAAGCGGGGAGCAGACTTCCTGGCAACATGTCTGTGTCAGGAGGATCTACCTACTACTAGCATCCACGGGTATGTATATAATACCCACTGCACCACTTTCTGGGAAGTTTGCTCATCCATGATATATGTGTAGATTCCCATGGCATTGTGTTCTTAAACATAAAACAGTAGTGAACCACAATACATATGCTCCTTGGGGTTGAGTGTGAAGTCACTGCTGCACAGGCATACAATGACGCCAACTCGATACATAAGTCCAACGGCTGTTTTCAAGTACATTCACTGCGTATATTTATAAACAAGACTTCGTTATGCTTGTCCAGTTGCATATTCAGTTGTTTGTCTAGTCCCTGAAACCCAGCCATTGGGATCAACACGTATTTGGTTTGGCGCTCTGGTTCCCAGACCAAAAGATCTGACGGTGTTTATCATGCTTGGTGCTCACATGACTTGCATACTTTTTTTTGTTATTGTTGAGTTTACAGTGTCGGTAGGTATGTCGGAAGAAATAGGAGAAAAAAGTGTTTAAAGAACAGACAAACCTTAAGAGAACGACCACGGCAAAAATAATTTTGAAAAGTGCTTTCAGCTGAATGATACAAGTACATTGAAAATGTCTTTGCTATCAGTTACCAGACATGTCTCACTTCACTGCGTTGTTTGTTGGGTCTTGTCAAATTGAAAACTACAGTGTTGATACTGACAGGACAGAGGCAACTTTTCAAAGACCAAGAACTTTCATTTGTCTCCCAGTGATCGGGAACAGCGGGAACGAGAGGAGGCCCTCTCTGATTTTAGACGCGGCAGGGCTCGTATCCTTGTAGCAACGTCCGTGGCTGCGAGGGGCTTAGATATATCTGGAGTCAAGCATGTGGTGAACTACGACCTGCCCTCGAGTATAGAAGAGTATGTTCACCGCATCGGCCGAACTGGGCGCGTCGGGAATCTCGGGAAGGCCACAAGCTTCTACGATCCATTGAACGATTCCCAGAACGCGCGAGCACTCATCAAAGTCCTTGCTGACGTGAGTATTTTTGGATATGCTTGTAATGTCTAAAACTAACTATCACGAGTGGCACCTTGATGTTAGTGATGGTTTGCATATCAGTGTAATGTCTGTGGCACTGTAGCATGGTAATGCCTAGTACACTGATATTGCCTTCATTAACAATTGCAAAACTGTCACACATGTTGAGCATTTTGGCCTATTTAACACCAAGCCTGTCCATGGTTGTATTGCACCTTCAGATCCAGAAGCCTGAGACAGATAATTTGGTCCATGTAGAATGCATATTAGCATATCCTGCAGTACCTGAGCACCGTAAAATATGCCTGAAGAAGCCTTGGTGACCTTTTACGGTAACTGCTAGGTGACACTTCTGTTATTTGGAATTTATTTATTTTGGACCTTCTGATCAAGTATGACAAACCATGAGGATAAGGCTTACCCTCCCGGCCACCTTGACCAAGGCTGACTAGTGATACATTTTCCCATCTTTCAGGCTCAGCAAGATGTCCCCGAGTTCCTGGAGTCAGCTGCAGACTCGGCCGTTGGGACGTTCCACGGCAGCGCCGGGGGCAGTTTTGGAGGCAGAGACACTAGAAAGGTGAGGGAAGATTGGATGTGATAAGGTAGTGAGAGAGCAAGGATTGTTGCGGTAGTAAGTTCAACCTCAACCAGTCCCTGCTGTCTCTGATACTTCACTGAAAAATGGGTCTTGCTTAGAACTAACCACATGCTGCCGGGTGGTTTTTGTCCCCGGTGGTAATCTGCTCGCACTAGATGCCCAAAACTGTCGTATACTGTTTCAAAACAAGGCTTGATTATCTCCACTAATGAAAGTGAAAAAATGTCGGTAATGCCCAGCAGCTCAGTCTTTTGTGCCCAGCACAGTCTTTTGTTACAAGGCCCAGATCTTTTGTCCCGGCTTCGGACTTCCCGGCTTTGTTTATAAAGCCTATGTGCTCCAAGGGGTCCCCCGGCAGCAAGTGGTTAAGGTTATTGCTAGACACATCTTGCCCTGATAAAGAGCTAGTGTTACCATTGAATTCCTGGACAACATAGGCTGTTTTGCTACTTGGTCTGCATTTGCTTTCTTTGCTCCCATGTTTCCTTTATATGATGATACTGACGAAAACTGTCTGTTACTGTTAGAATCTAAAGATGTGATGGAGTAGTGGCCAAATCTCTTTTTGATATGGAGGAGTATTATAGTTCAGAGGTTTACGATGATTTCTGCTCAAGTGTTAAAGGTTGTTTCACATCTGCATTTATCTGAAACTTTTTATTGAGAATGACAGTGCGTTGGGTGTTTTCAGTCTCATATGTTTGACCTCTTCTGTTTTCCCTCTTGAAGCAATTTGGTGGGCGTGGCGGTGGGCGTGGCGGTGGGCGTGGTGGTGGTGGTGCACGAAGCAATGACATCAGCAGTGATTGGGGCACTGGCAGCGGTGATGGCGGCAACTTCAGCGGTGGGGGCTTCAACAGCTCAAACTTTGCCGCCCAAGGAGCTGCAGAAGAGGAGGAATCCTGGGATTGATGAGGTCGATCACTGTCTTTCCAAGTGAAAAGTTTTTGCTAGCAGGACTTCTTTGTTGTGTTTTTTCCTTTGATCAGAATGCTGCAGTGTGGGATGGAAAAATGGTGGTATTATTTGGAAGGTCAACGGATGTGATTTCGCAGAGTCTAGGAATACTGTTGGGCTGCATGTGAAAAATGACTCTGAGATCAGAAGCACAGCATCAGGAAGTGCCAAAATACAAATATAAGGAAGAAGAAGACTTGCTTTTGGTAATCTTTACGATGCACCTATCATGCTGGCCATTTTCCAATGCTTTTCTCCTTTGCTTGTATAGCTTGGAAGGAAAGTTGAAGCCCTTGATTTTGGTGGGTTTGGGTAAAGGAAAATCTTTGGCTTTTACCTATTGAATTGGCCAGTGATCAGTTAATAACGTTAATTGTAAAAAGATTGTTTTAAATGTTAAAAGATTCCTCCAAGCACAAAGATTTTTCCAAAGTGCATGTTTATTCCTATGCTTGAAAAATGTTTAGGTTTTAGTAACAGGCAATTAAAAGCTCATTTTTAGTGATAAAGAACAAAGCTAGTTTTTGACGACAAATTGCTGCACCTTTGAAGATATACTTTCAGCAGTTGAATTCTGAAAGTTGAGGGGGAATCCAGGTGTCCCTAAAATTTCTGACCCGGCCGATCAGAGCAAAAGGGCCGATTCGCATCCAAGCAGGCTGGTTCATATATTGACTTGTAATGTGCATTCATGTCTTAAGGAAGGGAATTTGGTCACCAGCAAGCAAGTTACAGTTGAACAAGAAAGGTGTGCTATTTCTTGAAGTTATGTGGAGACTTCAAGGACAGATGAAAGTCGGACTACAAGGGTTGTGTCTTCATGACACACTGCTGACTGATAGTGGAAAAGAAACAAGTGAAACTCATGAGCAGAGTTGAAGCCAGGGGGCAAGTCAAATTGAGCAGTTGAGGCAAAACAGGAGCTTGTCAGACAGAAAAGTTTTAAAGTATTTACAACTTGGCCGCTCAAAAACGTAGCGTGATATCCTGGAGCTCAGGCACAAGACCAACTGTCCAAAGTTGTGTGGTTGATTTGGTGGTGCCCAGTTGATAGAAAGCCAGCATGCATTTAATATTCTCTTTAACCAATATAAGAGAGATGTTCTGATTTATTTGCCCTTTAAGTTTCAAAGCGGTATGCAGAGGCCATCAGTGGTCAAAATGTGTAGGGCATGTTGCAGATAGACCTCTGTACTGATGATGCCACACTTTGTTTTCGCATTTGCTTTCTTATGGTACTGGATAGGATAGTGCATGTGTAAACAAAGTGTGATGTCATCAGCACATGGGCCAATTGAAGTCGGTTCACTTGGCTGCCTTCCATACTTTGATAATGCGTTCCTCTTGGTAGCTGCTTTGTCCAGTTCCAAGGGACATCGTGTTAAGTTGGTATATATCTATCGCAGGCACCAGCCTTTGTAGCGCCAGCATTGGCAAAGGGTAAATTATAGCATAGGTTTTCTATTAAAGTACAGGTATTTTATCTTGATCAAATTAAAGAGCAGTATGAGAAGCCATCAACAGTTCACCTTATTGAGAAGTGCTTTGGAAAGTCAAGTGAGAGCAAGTAGTTTTACAAATGGTTAAGGGTTTTTTATTTAATGTGTGTAAAGTTACCAACCTGGCTCTTCCAGAACCACTTTCCCGAGGTGGACTGTTTTGTAAGTTCGCTGTTAGTCTCATCAGTTTTTAGCCGTGGATACGAGTGGATAGAGGTTGTCCATGGCCAGCTATCTTTCAGGTCAGTGCTTCCTTTGACGGAAAGATGGCTGCCATGCACTAACTGTAAACAACTTGGTCATAAAGGCTTCCAAGCAATAAAGCATGCAGACCAACAGTGCTCTGTATCTCATACTGTGAACAGGAACGATGACCTGTGGTGTTATTTACCCTTTCAAGTGTGCCTACTATGCCATGATGTTTGCCAAAGTGAATATATATAACATCAAACCTTTATATAAAAACTCATTGTTTATGTTAAGCAGGTTAATTTATATTACATTAGAGTCGAGTTTATTAGCTTCATAATCATATTTTTGTTATTCTCAATTATGTTCAATCTATTTTTACTCATCCTTATTTGTAGGTTAGTTTGTAAATTGTTAAACTGCACAAACTGAACAGGTTCCTTGCCTGGAAGTTCAGTATTTAGCTGCTAAGGAAGTCGGCATGCATTACAGAGGGGTTGCTTTATCCTTCTGGCAGGGAACAGTGTCTGTGAAAAACTTGTACTTTTTATCTTATGATTATTGTAACAGTTATTTAAGTGTTGAATAAAACTTCCATTGCACTCGAGAGGAGTAAAATCCATTTGTTTGTTTTTCCCCCAATGTGTTCAGGAGTAAGATATACGTTCATGTTTGCCAAAAAATCACCCCCATGAGTTTCCCATGAATATACCATTACCAAACAAGTCTCTGTAACCACTTTCACTTATAAATGCGGGGATTATCCTGTGTCACAACATTGATGTTTGTACACATTTTAGCGAATGCTGTGTGCGGTGCCATGTGACATCTGTACTCCTTCCCATAACTGAGTGATTCCACGGCTGAGGGTTGTAGCAAATATCGCTCTGTGGAATTGTCTCAATGAGTCTAAAAAGGGGCAATGCAGAGAAGAATTTTCTGCCAATCTTGAGCAATTGACAACCATGGGTTAGCATTTAAGTCCAACTTTGTAACGGAATGTCATCGTGGTACCGTGGCATTTTCAAGTCGGAATTTTTGACCCCAAAAAATACCCATGCCCGGTACATCTGTATCATGGACTAACATTCGCTCAGCAAGTAGTGAACAACCTCACTGCACAGTGGTCAACTTGGTGCATTCCACGTGTCTATGTTGAATGATGAGTGAGAACACTAATTGCCAGTAATGCATACAGGGTATATATTTTTATGTCAATTTCTTCAAAAAAGTTACAACTATTTTCAGTGTCCAAGAGGTTAATAATTGAAGTAATTTTGATATTAGGTTTCCTTAATTTGGAACTTTCCAGATATGCATGGTGGTCACTTGTACCGTGTACTTGATGCTGATGAACAGTCCTGAACATAATTGTGGAAAAATTGTATTTTTAATTTTAAACTTTTTGAAATGCTATTTATTCTGCGCTTTCACTCAATCCTGTGCTCTGTTACATTATATAAATCACTCTGAATTAATGCCAACGGCATGAAAGGTGCCTTCCCATATGTCCATTTTGGGGCATGTTACAGATATTGTATGAGATGCATTCATGCCTTTCACTTTCATGGAAACAAAAATGAACTTCATTACCATCACACACGTGTGTTGGGTTCAACCATCAAAATTGTTCCGGGAGCGATTTTGACGGATTGGCACCATGTTTGACGCATATGTGGAAACGTGCCCTGGCTTGATGACTGTATATAACTAAAAAAATTGAAACAGCTTTTTTTAAATTTGCGTTTGGCATTTTACCACAGCCGACCAAATTATCAAATGTTGACGGCAGTTACCCCAGATATTCAAGGCTTGGGGATGTCCTGACATCAAAGAAAGTTCTGTTCTCAAAATGTTTTCACCTTTCTGAAAGACAGTTCCAGAACCATTTTGAGTCAGGGTTGTATCGGGAAATGAAGAGAATTCAGGGAAGTCGTCAACAAGTCCCAGCTTTGCATGTTCACAATGGCAGAAAAATTACTATTTTCATTGAGTTTCCTCAACTTAATAAAAACAAAGGAATGTCTAGAGATGGATATCCATGCAATGCGCAAAATCAAACACGACATGTGAGGAATATATAACCCTTTCTTGACAGATTTTTGGGGGCCTGATGTAAGTACTAGTTACCCATCACACAAAGGGAAGACTCCAAATAAATGTACAACTGTAAATTTGTTTTATTTGCATACAGAAAGTGATTGGGTGGGACACTGATTCAATAACATGAATGCATTGACAAAGAATCAGTCTTGAAGTTTGACGTTTGGATATCCAAGATGGCAGAATAAGCCTAAATTCAGTACAATGCAAGTGAATGTACACACATTTTCCAATTTGATATCGCAGGACTTTTGAGCTCTTCTGTTAAAAAAATGCTGTTATTTGTACAAAATGATATGATGTCAGGAAAACTTATCTCCTAATTTTCCAGACACTTTCCTGGCTGAAGATGTCAGCTTTTTGAAACTTAACAAAACTCTAGTCCAACATGTTCGTGGTCTACTTTGGTCAAAATTACATCTCTGAACCCCACATAATGTGACCTCTTTCTACGCTCGGCCTAAACAAGATCTGCACAGCTAAAATGCACATACACAGTGCAATCTTAGAATGAAAATATAATACGTGTTTATGAAAACAAAGTTGTACTTGCGCATCATGCTATTAAGAGAAGTTATTACATATAAATAACTTTGTCAAAAATAATTTAAATAATGAAAATACAAGTTATTTACAAATTTACAAATTCTTGTTGAAAAAAAATACATGTACTTCAATTTTGGTTTGGTAAAAAACATAGTCAATGCACATTGTTATAAATTTAGTTCTTCTGATAGCTTACTTTTCAGTTCCTTGACACAAAACGTCTTTCCACATCCAGCTGAGATACGAATACACAATGTTTCCCGCGAACGAATGGGTGCTCAAAGCATCGGCTATGCAAGGTAACAATCAATTACCATTTGGTTGTTTTCTGTGAACTATTTAAACAAGACAGCACCATCATGCTTGTCAAGTTGACTCTCTGGACAGCAGCACAGGCAGGCCACGCGTCATGATCTCCTGTGACCGGCAAAAGTAGTCCATGCAGGTCAGTACCCTCCCACCTCAGAAACTGATCCATATTTCAATCCCCATGAGTTGCCTTGCAGCAATCTCTGGAGGGCGACTGGCCAATCATGGCCAAAGTGGGAGAGGGAGTCGAGTGTTCTGTCTGGTGATCTCATGCACCAGATCAAGGAGTATCTGCTTCACTCACACGTGCTGCAGGATTGGAAGGAAAAAGAGATGAGATTTCAGGAGACAACTGTCAGAATTACTCAAATCAAGGGATTACAAATTGGAAATGTTTCTGGTTTTCTGACTATGACATATGAACATCTTCTGAGAGCAGGTAATATTGCCTGAACAGGAGTATCAACACTGGACACAAAATGGCTTCCCCCGGCATTTTATCTCGAAGATGTGAAGGAGGAGTATCAACACTGGACACAAAATGGCTTCCCCTGGCATTTTATCCATATCACACACAGCTGCTCTAATTCTTAGCTATACCTTTGACAATTTTCCCGCAGTTTGGTATGCATGCAAAGACATCCATATATATCCATGTCAAGTTTCAATCCATTCAAAAGAATTCTGTCATGATTTTAAACAATTCTCAATGCGGTTCATGCTTGGAAAAAAATATCTATTTTTTGCCACCCAACATAAAAAAGTCTCATACTCCTTCAGAGTGGTGAAGTGAGCACTTTTTTTGGTGAAAAACACTGTGTATCACAATGCCAGGTGTACACATAATTACTTTGTGTTGCAAAAAATATTTATATGTTCATGGCAATCTGAAGTTTCCACTGCAAGGGACTACACAGGATGGAGGACATCACTTACATCTGGTGGCCAGCAGTGTATTGCCATGGTTACAGGAGACGGAGGTAATCACAAACGGTTCTTCCTCATTCAGGTCCACTTTCTGTGGTATGGCGGAATGGTCTTCCAGGCGGCCCAGTCGACCTCTGGAGCTCTTACCCCAGGAAAAAACTTGTCCATCTGGGCAAAAGTTCAACGAATAAACACACCAGTAACCAAACAGGGCATATAATCTGGCTTTACGCCACTACTGAGGACCTCTATTCCCATCTTTTGTTTCTCCTTTTTGGCCCGACTCTCGTGATGGCCTGTGAGGACTCTATCTAGGGACTTGGCTGCAGGTTCTTACCCCATTGCTTTCTTCACCGTTTGTCACATGTCCTCAGTAGTAATGGAAGTACCAGTCGCAGACAGATATGAGGACAAACACAAAAGCCTTCAAGTGAGATTTGAATCGGTCAAATAATAATTTATGCCAGCATTGGCCCTTACACAAACCAAATATTCATGATAAGGACGACTCCCACTGAATTAAGTACTCAATCTACCCCATTGTGAGATGCAAGACAATCATGCCTATCTGACTCCACTGGTCGGTCTCACCTGATGCTAATGCAACAGTGAACATATCCCCACATGCCACGGCTGTAATTGCAACATCCTCGTGGAATACGGGAGAGCAAGGGATTCTGGGAGAGTTGGTTTCAGTCTCGCAACCAAGCTGGCCAAACTGGTTGGAGCCAAGAGTGAAGCATACATTGTCATCTGCAGATCATTGAAAACAAAATTCACACAGGGGGTCAGGTTGGTGCAGTGGTACTTTCTGAGCCTTGCACCCCTTCAATCTGGGTTCAAATCCCATACAAGGCTGTATGTGGGTTAGGTCTTCAGTCCCCATCTACATCAAGTGATACATGTATTGTCTTTTTACGAAAGTCAGGGCTTTCTTGATTCCAGGAAAAAGGGGGCAAGTCTACTATCTTTATCTGCATACACATGTACAGGCCTGTGGCCTTGTGGTTAGGGTCTGTAGCTTCTGATCATAGGGTCAGGGGTTCGAATCCAGCTGGTGGCAGCATGTTGTGATCCTGGGCAAGTCACTTTACCCCTATGTGCCTCTCTCCACCCAGGAGTAAATGGGTACCTGTGAGGGCAGATATGGTCGTTAGCTGTGTGCACCTGATACAGCAGGGCTGCATCAGGCTAGTATACTCCCCAGGGAGCCGAGATGGGGTCGGGAATGTTCAGATGTTGAGAGCCAAATGTGCAGGGATATTGATACTGGGAGATACTGTGTGCCTTATAAAAGCTTTGATATTTTTTTAATCATTACGTACCAGTACGCCATTTGCTCTGCAAAGACGGCTAGTATTAGGAAAAACGAAATACGTTTCTGGTCCCCAGAATATGAATGCAGCATTTTTCTGCCACCTCTACAAAGCGAATACTTCATCCGTCTTCTCCTTCCTCTTCCGCCAATGGATCCCTCTGGGAATATCGGCACACTAAATAGGTAATAATGTTGCAAAAACCTAGTCGTCTACAGAGCTGCTCCACAATATTCTCTTCATAACAGAAATTGACTCTGTCCATGAGTATCCTTGTCCCTGCTTCGGTATTACGGACTACATAGGACATTTTATGTGAAACAGGTAAACAATGCCATGATTTTCTAAAGACACGTCATGCCATCAAATCATGCCGCTGTGTCCTGCTGTCCCATTGCCTCAGTGTTGACGTGCGATGGCACGACATAATGGGTGACACCATGATGGAACAATGTGTTAACCGACATGGAGAAAACAGACGATAGCATGACACAAAGGGTGACAAAAGGTCAGGCACCGCAATACCATAAAGGGACACCATGACATGATGCACATCTGTCTTCTTTTGGACACTTCATGGGTTTTCCCCTAATATATCTGGTCTTCCACCTCTGAAGCTCAACGGTAATAGTGGTAAAATGCCCTGCTTGTGGACACAAACACATCCTTAACCTTTGTTACAGGGCAATGTGCATCTGCCTTCACAAATGCTATCAATGTATCGCATGCACAGCAGAGCTTGTCAACCAGAACTGTGCAATGTATCAACCTCAAATTTATAGACTTGCATCTCACAGACATCATGTCTCAAGCCCCGGGGAAGGGGGTTGACCATCCCACAATTCACTACTCCAACAATCAGAATGACCAGGGCACATTCTTTCAGTCACAAAAATTCACGGCACACTTCATACCTGTAACCATGGCAGCATGAGCTGTTCCTATGGCAACACTCCTGACTGGCAATTGGTGAATAGGGTGGGAAGCCACCAGAGTGTAGGTATGCATCTCGTCAACTTTGACGCGTGTCTTCGTGTTTGGACCGACATCATCCAGACCAAGCTTGTTGTATCTTTGGAAGGGGAGAGGGGGTCGTGAGATCAGTCTTGTCAAAAGTTTGTCCATGATGTTGGGACCAAAAGGTAAAGTATACACATGTCCAGAATAAGGATGGACCAGTCTGATAAAAACGGAAATCATTGCAGCAAGTTAATCGGATTAGATGTGAAATTCCATTTAATCGTTACAGAGTATGGGTTTTGAACAATTTGGAGACAAAAAAGTCATGGGAACAATTGTTTTCCTCTCAATGCAGTTTGGACTTTCCTAGCAAAAGAACATGTCCTCTTGAATGTGTGTAGGGCCTATCCACACAGATCAGCATGAGCTGACAACCTTCCCGTTGATTAAATAATTAGGAGTGTTTAAGCTTTCAGAAGACGTCCAGAAAACTGTCAATTTTTACATGTGACTAGGGTTCTCCTAACTCCTGAAGAAATGATGGGGAAACTAGGCATCTACGATTTTTATCCTTGTTGATAAAAAGGCAAGCATACGTGTAATTCAAAATCGACCTGTGCACAGTAAGTCAAAGCCCCAAAAGTCTCCATGGGGTTTTCCTATGCTGTGTGGACTAGTATCTCGACTCCATTTACAGGGGCAAGTGAAATGGCAAGTGACTTTCTGTCCGGGTTGTCAGAGCTTTCAAGATGTCTACCAGGTAGCTTGAGCACACACCTGTTGCTTCCACATGCCAGAACTTTCTTGTCTGTTGTCAGCAGCAGAGAGCAATCTAAGCCACAGTGTACCGAGGCAATGTGGCACACTGCTGGAAGGCTGACACTCTGTGGTGAAGGAAAGGATTCCTGACTGTCCAGACCTAGGCGTCCTATAAACAGGATGAGAACAATAGTCTAGAGTGGTAATCAAGTCACCAGTCTATTACCAGTCAATTGCATTTACAACTACAATTTATTCAGCCTCAAGACACAACCTACGTAAATTGACAAATGTCTTCATTTGTCCTTGTTAATATCCCGTTTGCTTCCAAACTAGTCTGACCTCAGGTGCATTGACCCATGAGTGGACTTCAGACTGATGACAGCACAACCCACTTTCTGAACGTCAGGTACCAGACCAAAAGACAAGTGAAGAAGGGGGGATAATTCCCTTTGAATGGCAATAACTTGTTCATGCCTTTGTACATCTTGTGGATGGTATTATTTTTGGCCATACAGTTCGATTTCAAAGAAAAAAAGCAAGATAAAGCCTGTATCTTTACAGCCAAATGCCGCACACACCGATTCAAAGCGTCAGTGGAACAGTTCTTGCAATGCAGAGACATGTTTTTTAAAGACACTCCAGGGTACACCTGCAGAGCAATGGTTGCTACAACAGGCTGTGCATAGTGGTCAAGTTCATTTTCAATAACACAGTCCACTTCCAAAGCCTTCTGGGCTTTGTAAGCATGTGCAAAATCAATGGAGAATTAATGTGTTCAGATGCCAGCCGGAGGTGAGTTGAGGCATGATTGTCATTTTAACTCATCAGCCATGTCTGTGTTTGAAGACAGTCAGATTTTATAAACTAATCAGCGCCAAGTAGTTTAGCACAATAAAAGAAAGTTCTAAAACAAGTTGAAAGAGGAAAGCCATCATCTGCCTGATTAACCCAACCCCCTAGGGTGTATGTAAAATCGTATTGAAATTGGAAGATTTGGAACTGTTAGGGTTAATCAGTCACTTCTTTTAACCACTTGGCATTCCTTTTGACTGTATTTTGGTAATCCTCCAATATTTTGATAGAAACGAGTTCAACAGTATTCAGTTCTAGCATTTTCACGGTGTCTTTAATGGTTCAATTTGACCAGGATCTAAACACCACACCAAAGATGTAGAGGACCATTCACAATCTAAATTGTTTAACAACAACTTAGCTGGTAACCCACTCCAGGTAAGCAGAAGTCTTTCAAGGCTCACAGCTCAGCAATATTACCGTTGTCTCCTCTCCCCCAGGAGAACACTTCGTTGTCAGTGGTGACAGCCATGACGTGCGATGCACCACACGATACCATGACAACCTCGTAACCTAGCAACTCCTCCACGATTTTGGCCTGGGAGACGTCGTGGTAGTTGCCATGCCCCAGGCTGCCATGGGCTCCACTGCCATAAGTCATCAGTATGCCTCTGTCTAAAAACAAGGCAGAGACAAACTTGACAATGGACTGAACACTAAAGTGTCAAATAAAGAGGTTAGGCCAACATTTGAATATCAGTGTTGCCTGCTATAGGGGCACAATACAACAGCCGGTCTTAAAGGTACAGTCCATCGTTTCGTCATTTGTACATTTTGTTCCTTTGAGGCAATACAATTATTTAAAATCTAAAGAAGAGTGTTAAAGAACAAACCTGGCAAAGTTTCAGCTCAGTGAATAATGTACATTCCGGGCAAAAACATTATTCTAGTATGTTGATTTCAGACCGAGTCATGTTTTTGAGTTGTGTCTGAATTCAGCGTCTATGATAGGACACTTTCTCACATTCATTCCAATGCAGCTATGCAATGTCACGCATTGGACTGCCAAATTACAGTAACCATATGCACACGAGTGTGTCTTGTCAACACTTGCACATGCTTCTAATGACAATTTTCAAACAAAGCATCTTCCGACGCATAGCCTTCTTTCCTTGTTTTCTTCAAAATGAGAGCTTGCTCAAAAAGAAGATTTCCACAGAAAGTTTAGTCCCATGACTATCTTTAAACCAAGCATGCTTTTCAACAACAATTTTGTCCACTTAGACAAGTGCAAATGATGGACTGTACAAGTACCTTTGAAGCTGTCTATGCGTGCTCTCTGGTCTTAACACCACAAGTACACCAGTGGTGCATAAATCGGTTTGGAACAGTAGCAAGAATGTACTGGCAATGCTGTGAGCCTTAGACATAAACTTTTGGCAGTTTAGAGAACAATATTTTCTGGTCTCCACTGCAAGACATGAATGCATGCAATGCCCAGTGTGATGGTCCAAGTGGATGCTATTTAAAAGCAGACAGCTCTCTCTCATTCACAACAGGCCCATGTATGATGACACCAGCTCGGTTTACATGTGCACTTTTCAATGATGGGGGGCAGGACGGATTTCACGGTCCATTGGAAAGTGCACATGTAAAGAAACCACACATTGGCCCACTGGAGAGCAAACTCTGACCTCCCAAGTGCTTTCTAATTGGAAACTCGCCCCAATTTTTCATAATTCAGCAGTTGTAAGCAATATCCACTGACACATTCCTGGCCTTGAAAAGTGGGTCACCAAGACCCATGCATACATCTGAACATGGCCAATACCAGAGGTTTAGTCCATGGAGTTGCTTAGCACTCCAACACTAACAAGTTGATATCAGTTACCGGTAGCCGGTGTTTTCCCAAGAAAGAAAGCTTCTACACTTAGCAGGTTTTGGTGGTTAAAAGTTATTGTTTCGGTTACTGAATTTGAGTGGATTTTTGGGTAGTTAGGAATAGGTTGGAGTTAAGGTAATAAGGAATACTTGGCTTTATCCTGGACCAAATGAATGCTGGAGATACGTAGAGGTCTGCATGATTCAAGTTTTGCAGGAATTTTACACTGGGTTGGTGTAAAGTTTATATCTGGGTTTTGCTTTTCTCTACGTAATGAACGGCTTTCATTTCATGGAGAATGGATCTATTTTTTCACATATCTCGTACCTGTCAGTTGACAGGTACTCGATGTGCAAAATTATGTCACTCTGTTGCCCATCAAAAATAAAAAACAAAAACACAAGTATTAACCATGATTGATTTCAAGAGAGCACTTAGAATACACAGTTCCTGCAGTGTTAACTAATGCTGACAAACTCCACATCCTGTCAGGAAAGAGACAAGGTAGTTAACATAGTAGGACCCCGGCCCAATTTCACAGAGCTGCTTAACAGTTAGCAGAAAAGTCGTGCTTACTATAGAAGAAAAACTTGCTTACCTTTGGCACTATTTCATTGTGGTGCTTGGCCTAGTTGTTCTTACAGCCATTGAGATCTCCATTGTTTTATTTCTATATTAAGCAACTTTTTCGTCCAAGGTCAGCGTGCTGTTTGCCATGCTTACTGCTTACAGTCTCCATGAAATACACAGCGCCTCTGTAAGCATAAAATTGTGTGCTGAGCAGCCTGAAATTGGGCCCAGTACTCTTGCACTATTTTCCTCCAAACCATGTTAATGTTATGTACCTGTCAAGCAAGCTGTGAACATATCCCCACAGGACACATGCTGGATGGTGACCGCTGACTGACCTTCTAAGTAGCGTGGGATGAAGGTAGGGTACTGCTGGTCAACAGCTCCAGGCAACATGGTGGAATCTGCCCCAACTGATGAAAACTGTCGGAAGAACATGATAAATACCAGGTTTACATCTTGGACTCCATGCAGAGGCTAATAATGGTACTATCTAGCAAAGCATCACACAATGTGTGAGAACTGGGTCTCATGGGCAATTGGTACTGAACATGCATGTCCACTTTCAGCAGCATGTGCACAAACCCAATGGCCTCTTTGCTTGAGCAAAACACACCAGAGTGAAAGTGCACAGGGGAAAAAGCACCCGACTATTTTAACAGCTGTGAACTGAATGCTGAAATTTACAACCAGGCCTCAACTTCAACAGTGACCACGACATCCAGTATCTTTGATGCCCTTTACTTTACCACCTGGACCTTTACAAATATGACAGAACCCAATGCCTCAGGCTTAGTATTTCCATGCCTTCTGGCAATAGAGCCCTATATGTAGCATTACCCATCCATCTCTTCTGCTTTTTTTCTAAAGTCATCAAAAACCCCTGATGGACAGTCCAAAATCAGTTCAAAATGCCATGTCATTAGGGCAACCAGTGTATGTCTACATATCAAGTATGCATGTATCTTCATGGAAATACATGCATGTACAAATGACAAGCACAAGTATTCGCAGTGGAGTAATCGCACGTGGCAAGAAATTAAACACCTTGTATCATTTAAATTGACTGTAGCTGCTTCTCATTGTTAACATACAGGATAACATGTACATGTATGTATGTGCACAAATATCACACCCAAACCTCACTCAGTGTAAAATACCCAGTTTGGTGTCTTGTATTACTACACCTCATAAATATTCATGAACAAATCGGAGCGCGTCATTGGCCGATTCCACCTTGCGTCTGGGAAGTAGAAATGATACGCAACCAGGTGACGTCATAGCGGTGAGTATTCACCTCGCTACAGTGCAGTAGTTTTTTCTGGTAGTATCAAAAAATCCCTCTGGAACTCACCGTGTAAATATGTAGTCTGTGTCATGTAATCTTTACGGAACAAGTCTGGAGTTGTATCCTAATAACTATTACAGTAACGATCCAAAACGTATGTCAGCACCAGACTACTGAAGCCCTGTTTCTATGCACATCTGCAC